CTGCTGCAGTGGCAGTCTCTTCTGCTGACTGGGGGCTGGCTGCTGCTGTGGGGGCAATCACTTCTGCAGGCTGCTGGTTGGTTTCTGCAGCAGTGGCAGTCTCTTGTGCTGGCTGGCGGCCGGCTGCTGGTGCGGTGGCAATCTCTTCTGCTGGCAGGTGGCTGGCTGTTTCTTTGGTGGCAGTGGCAGTCAAACCTTCTTTGGCTGAATCACTGGTTGCTTCTGCTGATGCGTTGGGTGTTTTGCTGGCTGGCTTCTACCAAAGGTGCTGGCAAAGCTGGAACGGTAGCTGGACCGGTTGCTGATGCTGGCACTGGTGATGCAGTAGTAATTTCTGCAATTTGGTCTGGATGTGTGTCCACGGCTTGCAAAACAAGTGGTAGTTGAGGGACCTCTGCTAGCTGCATGTGGCTGTCAGGTGCTGCCACAAACTGTTCTGCTGGTGGTGACCTGCCATTTGTAGCCGCTTGTTCTGGTTGGAGACCGTTGGCGACAAGCCATTCGATGAAGTCTCTGAGCTCTTGTCCAGGATCTCCTCCTTCAGCCAAAAAGGTCCAGGAGTCATCACCAAACAAAGGACGCATATTGATCTCATGTTGATGCATTAGAGGATGTTGCTGGGCTTGGTGGAAAAGGAGGTCCATGACTTCTTGGTCATCTGCATATGTTGCAATAATGCCATCCAGTTGGTCATCAACTTCTTTGGCAGTTGCATGTTGTGCAAATTCAATCAACTGCCGTACAATGCCTTCCAAGGACGTAGGGGCATCAGTGGCATGGAGGTTGACAAGCATGCTTGCGCTGCCACGGCTGTCACTGCTGCTATTTTGAAGCCATTCCTTGGAGTCAACCAAAGCTTGTCGGATGCATGGCAAATTTTCTTGCGAGAGAGGTACTGCATGTGATTCTTTGCGAAGAAACACCTTCTGGTCTTTGTGGGCCTGCATTTGATCCAAGAAGTCGTTGAATCTCTCGTGACGTGTGCACATCTCAAGAACCATCACCATACGACCTTCAAACACTCGAAGATGATCCAGATCCTTGTCCTTGACAATGCCCACGAGATGAGCTAGGTTGGCCAGCAAAGCATGTGAATCAAACAATTCCGTCTGGACAGGAACCAAAGCATCTGTAGCTGGAGCCACATCGCATGGCTTTTCCGATTTGACATTGACAACACTGTCTTTTTTGACAGGAGTCCAAAGTCTCTTCTGGTCCATGCAATGCAAAAGCTCTTGCGCAGCCGCCATTGTCAGCAAGTTCCTTAGGTTTGTCATTGTATTGTATTGTGTGTGGCTGTATTTGCTTATGTGAGAACAGACAGCTCATTCACACAAAACACAACAAAATAAAAAATAGTTCTTCTATACTAAAATTGCATAATATACAACCCCAGCTTCTTGGGATAGATATCGTCCACCAATTTGAGGTCGTCCATAGATTGAGGCGCGAACAAAGGGCACATGACTCTGAATCCTGAATTGTGAGCATTGACAGCACGCTCAAAGCACACATGGCCAGCCGGGACATAAAGAATGTCACCTGCAGAAAGGTACCCTGTTCGCAAGGAGGGCAACTTGTAGTCGGACGAGGGGTCAATCTTGGAAATGGCCTCTACAACATCCTTGTAGGTCTCAACTTTGGTGGCTGAATATGCTTCCTTGAGGCTCACAGTGGCAAACACGCGGTTGCCATTGCACTGGTAGTGAACAAAGGCCAAGCCAGATGGATTCAAGCCACTGAATGTGCTTCCTTGTGCGAACAGCTGCAAGAAACCTTCACAGACCTTCTCCAAGTCCGAGTCAGTGCAGGTGTCATCACGCTTCAACCTTGTTTTGCGGGACAGCAACATACAATTCATAGAACAGGTCCATGTGTCATATCATGTTTGCTGATCACAAACTTTGGAAGTTTGCATGTATAGCCTGCAACAAGTCATATCATCTGAATCACATCACAAGAGGTTGATTCTGTTTACGTTTATTCAGAAACAAGCCACCTTTGGTACAAACTGTCTCGATCTAGTAGAATAGCAGGCGAGCTGTTGCCACCACTCTTGGAGTCAGCTGTCTTCTCAAGTGCCAATTGCAGCAGCCGATCAAACCCCAAAGAGCTTGTAGCTCCCACCAGTTCAAGAAGCTTGGTGACACGGGTACGGTTTGGAGTAGTGGATAGCATTTCATCAAACTTGTCGAAAGAGCTCGTAACACCATTCATGATGGCTTTGGATACTGCACCACTTTGTTCTGCAGAGATGACACCCAAGGTTTCGTTTGCTAATGCAAGCAGAACCTTCTTCACTGCGCCCTTTTTCAATCTACAAATAGCAGACTTGTCGGGGTTTGCGCACATCTCAGACGCAAATGATTCAATGGATTCAATGGCAGCAATTGTCCCATACTTCTCAAGATTGGTGGAATGGTAGATCAAAGGCAAGTCCTGCAAATGTGCGAAAATCTAAATCGAGTTTGAAGAAATAGATACAACAGGTGAGAGTGCTGTCTCAGTCTCTATCCATTTATATATGGACTATTGAGCCATTTGGTTTGTGACACAAACTCGGTCCTGTTCAATGTCCAGTTCTCCAAGGTTTGTTCTGCCCTTACGCCTCTTCCTATCGGCTGCGGTGTTTGTAGCTTCTCCGTTTTCTGCTGCTGCTGCTGCTTTTGCAGCAGCACGTGCTGCTGCTCGTTGCTCTGCCTTTTCTGCACGCTTTCTTTGTGATTCCTGCAATTTGTCTAGCCTGGCTTGTTCCTTGGCTCTAGCCTTCACCTCGTCATCCCTAGCCTTCTCAGCAGCCTTCAATCCTGCTTGCCAGTTGTCAACATCACTCACGATTGCTTGACCAATCTGGGTGAGCAATTTCAACCCATCATTGTGCAACGCCATCAGGTCATCCATCTTTTCACCTGATGGTTGAACGTCCAACAAGAACTCACGGATATGTTGTGCACGTCCCACTGTCATGACTGCACTCTTGCCCATGTCCAGTTGGCTAACCGCTTCTCTCAAGAATTCATCAGCATCCACCAAAGCTGAGAGAGACTGGGAAATAGCTTCATCCGTGTCATCTGATGCACTCCTTGCAGATCAGTTACACAACTGTGTACAGCTATGTCCACAACACTGTGTTTGTATTTTCTTGTCATCATTTGGACAAGACTCATCGCACATTTGAGAATGACATTTCGTTTCAAGATGTGCTGATACCTCAGAACTGAGAACTCAGAAGTAACATAAATAACATTGACTGTACATCACAACAATCATGTAATGCCTGTGAAAACAGAGAAGGTCTTTATTGTGTGGCGGTTGGTGTATTGTTTCGTGCTGTGTTTTATGTTCGTGTTTTAAAATATATATGTTCATAGCTGTTTTAAGTTCTGATCGTGCAATGCTTTGATCATTTCATACTGTGAAAAATGATGCATCTTCACTAGCTGCTACTACGGTGCACAGGGTCATAGTCCAAAGCCAAGGGCACACCGCTCTGTGCATTGGTTTTTTGGATTTCCTTGCCTTTCTCAATGGCTGCAGCCACAACATTCGAAGCTTTCTCCATAAGTCGCCCAAGATCACCAACTTTCTTCAAGCACCCAGTCCTCAAACGCATGGCATAAACCTGAGTAGCACTTGTGGCTAGCAGATTGCATTGCAGGTTCAATGGTTGAATGGTCACCGATCTAATTTATTCAAAGCTGATTTTGGTCAAGTAGCTGTACGGTTTGAATCCTTGAAGGATTTAGCATTTTTTGCTTTGGCAGAGGCCTTCTGCTTGGGCTTGGGTGCACCATTGGCTGTAGACTTACTGGACCCTGACCCTGACGGCAAGTTCACAGCCCAATCGGTATCATCGATCAATTCTTGAAACAGTTGTGTCTTCACATCCTTGCATTCTTGGACAGTCTTCTCAGTGGACTTGTTCGTCTTGGAATTCTCAAAGCAAACACTCACATCCTTGGAACAGGGATCGGTTTACTCAGCTTGCCTTTGACAAAAAAAGCACACAAATCTTGGTGACTTAGTGTCAAACTGTATATGATCCTGTACGATGTTCTTCCCCTTGATCAACGTAAACCAGCCATACCTGTTCAGAGCTGTGTTACCATTGATAGGTGTTTGTTTGGCAAGCCAGCAACAACAGGTATTTAGTAGATGGCCTTGCCAATGGGTTTCCCTTCGCGGTCATTGGCATCTACCTGCTTCTTTGGTGTTCCATTGCGTAAGTCCTGACAAAGGCATTTGGTTTAGTTTCATGGGTTGAATCTAGAATCGTGATGGATTGATGTGTGTGATAAATGCATGAAAGTTTGTCCTCCCACCATTTGGCTTCAGCTGCTTTGCGGCTGAGTCCTCAAACAAAATCACTGTCGCTGAGCAATTACAGTTTCACAAATCACACGATCACACATGCATGCAAGGCACGACGCCATGTGGGTGCTTGTTCAGAGTACCATGTGATGTAGTCGTCCATGCACAAGGGAATACGGACAGTGTCATTGGTGTTGCGTACGCCACTGGATTCACGCATGTAGAGTTTCACTTCAGAAAAGTCGAACTTGTTGCGTGGTTTTCCTCTACCCAACGAAGGACACCTAAGCCCAAGACATTGAGAATAAAACCTGATGGAGAGAACTCGGGAATCACGGCAAATCACAGCTATTTATGTCATGGTACTGTTCAGCAAAGTTCCCCAGAATCTTCAGGAATTGTGGCCTGTCATGTTTTTCCATATCCTCCAAAGCAGCTTTGACACCAGGACCTGCTTTGGCTGCTTGTGCATACATAGCATCTTTGTGGCCCAAATGCCCTGCACACAGCTGCATCGACCTTCCATGCAAAGCCAACAGAAAGTTAACTGGCAATATCCAATTGTTTACGTTTTTTTGTTTTTGTTGTTTGATGTTGGTTAAACTGCATTGGTGGTTGTTGTTGTTGTTGTTGGTTTATGTTTAAATGATTCGTCAACCGGGCAGGCCTTGTTGGCATAAGAGGAATGGTTTTGTCGCACTCGTGTGCTTCACAATTCGTAGTTAGCTGTCCTCCTCCGGTCATAAGATGTCTCAAGTCATCTTCCACGATTTGAGTATCCATCATAGACTTGCTTGTTGGAATGGGCAGCTCGGAATGCACAGACGAGGTTGAATCTGTCATTCAAAGGAGTTCGGCTCAGACTGCTTCCACTCGAGTGCAGCAGCTGCAGTTGAACATTCTAGATACTCAGAGGCAAACAAAAATGAATGAACACTGTGTGAAAACTGTGGCTCACATCTCACATAAAAGGACTAACAGTAACATGTGCCAATGCTTTTCAATATGCACCTGCATGAATGTTTGAGCATGTGGGTTGTGATCGGATGTGTGTTATGGTTGTGGCAGCTGTCGTTTTTTTTTGCATCTGGGCATCGAGTGCCACAAGTGCTTGTGCAGTAACATTCCTCTCAGGTAAACTTCTCGAGACTGCAAAGAATCCCACACCAAATTGCTGACACAACAGCCGCATGCATTGCCTGTTGCTTCAAGCCAGGAAGCGTTTAAAAAAAACACAAATCATGTCATGCAACTTGCAATGCATGTAGTGTCAGCCTGTAAAAGGATAAAAGCTAAAATGATAATGACATGTCTGACAGGACATCAATATTGTTTTGATTAATCAACAAAGTCACGTTTCCCGCAAGGCTTTTGCGATTTGTTGCGCTTATGTTGTCAATGTTCAGCAACGGAAAAATAGAACCGGCACAGAGCTGTGCATACATAGGCCAGCCCATAACAACCAGGTGCTCGTCCTCAAGGAGCCAGCGCTCTTCAAAGTTTGCCTGTGGAGCTTTGCACACCCACATCAACCCCTGCTGCAGCAAAGTGGGTATATACCCTGATGCTATTGGACGAGTCATGGGATTCTGGTTGAGGTTGACGGTCATGCCCTGACACCCACCTTATGCTCACGAGAACTTGGGATCGGAGATCTTGTGATCATGTGCATACATTGAACAAAATGGAATGCCTTGATCATGGTATGATTATGCTTTTATCTAAGCCGCAGTCGAAGCCGTTCTGAACTTTGGTGGACTTCTTGTACATACCAAGCCAAAAGCTTTTGCCACCTGAAAGAACTGCAATGATAGCAAATAAGCTATATAGGCTATATATATGTTATCTATAATGTATAATTTAAAAAGCGTAGACAACAAACACATGATAGTGTTTGATGAACAATGCGCCTCTCAGCAAATCACTAAAAGGACTCTTCGAGGGTTTGTACAGCTTGCCCGCAACCCTCTTGCGTTCCTTTTCCACATCTTCCTGCAGAACAAAAGTGTAACAAGTGTAAACCACACATGTACTTGCAAGCGTGATTTTGTGTTTCTTTTGAACGCATGTAACACCATTGGCCTCTGGTGCAACCAGAAAGTGGCTGCAATCCATTGTTGGTCGTTCGAAAAGTTCATGGATGATATTCAGGCCACGCCCCTTCAGTCCACATGTGTGAACATTTGTACCAACCTCACACCATATGGCATTGTTGAAAAAAGTCTGACCCAGGCCCAGTGACCCAAATAAGCAAGCTGGCACAAATATAAACACGTTCAAGCAAGCAACCAAATAAGATCGTTCTCTCACAGCTGGCCATCCCAACAAATGCGGACTTAAGAACAGCATCTTTGTGTCAGGATTGAGCTCGGCTGTGCATTCAGTGGAATCATGTGTCATGTGATGCCACTGAAAGTGATTTAAATACTTCACAAGAAGTCCTTTGAGAAACCTTGATGTGCACTCGTGAATGCAAACATCCTGGCAGCTGCAACAGGAACATACAAATGAGATTTGACACATGTAGCACAGGTTCAAGTAAACAACACTAATGCATGTGTCCTCGGCAAAGCGGCACCAACGTCTTTCAGCTAGCCAAACACTGAGCGGCATGCAAGCTGGACCTAGTAGCCCCTGCAAAAGACCTGGGTTGTCATTCTGTTCATTGATTGCTTTTAAATATGCATCACAAATGGATTGACGTCAAATCCAAAACAAAAGGAACGTTCCACCACCATGGTTCCAATTGCTGAAATGTCCTTGCAGGTTGTCCCTGCTGCTGCAAACACTAAGCGTTTGTTCATACCAGCACTGCCAGCACTCGGTGACTGAGCATTCGGGTCATCTGGACAAAGGCCCCGCATTCGCGCATAGCCGACTGGAGTGTAGCAGGTTGAATCCTGTGAACCAAATCACATCACATGGATCAGGTGTTTGAAAACATAAATGCATATGCATTCATACTAATTCACATATTATGTGCTTTGCAACGCACTGTCAGTCTTTGGCAACTTGGCTTGAAGTGCTTGTCTTGGAACGCTTTGACGGCCGCTCTTGATTGGTGAGTTCCTGATCCATGTGTCCTTCTGAATGGCAAGGGCAAAAAGTCAGAAAGTTGTCAGCACTGC